CATTTTTTCTGGATATGATCAACCTGCGGAACCCTCTATCCGATGAAGTAACTAATGCTCGCTCATTAAAAGAAATCAAATCCTTAATTAATCGTTCTGATGCAATTATTAATAATTTTGACTTCAAATATTTTCATAGATCATGCCAAATTGTCCACTGTCGCCTTAGGCTCGGCTGCAGTGACTTAAACGCTGATAAGTTTAGACGACATGTATCAGACATACCAGACTGCACTTGTGGATATCACCTTGAAGATGCAATTCACTTTTTCTATAACTGTTAAAAAATACGATAATATCAGAAACACTGTGTATTTCTACACACATGGGTATGGTCTAAAAATAATATTACATGGCAGTAGTTAAGCAGTTCTACAAACATGACTCTTCTTAAATCAGTTCATGACATCATTGTCAAAAGCAAAAGGTTTGAGTAGCTTAAGTTTATGCATGTAGTAAAGGAAAACTGCATTACCTTATTTCAAAGACACCACTTGCTTGCTTTCATTTGTGCATTTTGTATGTTTATGTTCATCACTCTCTTATATATATCCAGCGGTTGTTAAGTTGTTACCTGGAGAGGTATTACATAAGCATGTTTTGCTTTTTTACCGATACAGATTTCTTTTGAAATAAAAACACGTTTAAGCCAACACAGCTAACGGTAAAACACATGATTGTAAACTATTCAAAAAGGGGCACTAATCTCTGGCTTCTTCTCGGGTGTCGGACTCAAACTCATTTATTCTTAGAATAACATGACATACAATTATCTACAATTTTTATTATGTACAATTTAATAAAAATAGGATACGTGGATACTAATACAATTTACCAATTGTATTGTACACATTGTTAAGGAATTTAGATAGGCCTTTAAGATTTCTTACACTGTTAGTGGTCATAATTTTCTTAAATGTTTGGAAACTTAAGATATTGCTTATTTAAGAGTTCATATCGCCGTTGGTGAAAAGCTTCACATCGGATTAATGCAATTCATCTCCCACGGCGATAGAATCACAGAGTGGACACTGGTTGTCTTCCCTGGGAATGTTCAGCCATCGACCAGTTTCAACTGGTACTCCTTGGTTAGAAAGTTCTGACTTTTAGTATTGGGAGAAATATTGATTTTGAGAGCAGTAGATATTTCGCAAATGAAGGTTGATTCTTCAGGTAGCACGACCTTTGGATTTCCGCTTGGGCTTACTAGCTGCCGTGAGTCAATTTGCTCGTTAACGCAACCGAGCGTGACAAGAGACTGGGCTACCAGTCTGCAAGGACAGCTAAATAAACTTACGCATTTTTGAAAACTGATTGGTTACCCGTGATCTATGAAGATTTCAACAAAGGGCGCATGGTAATTAATTTCTTCAGCCTAAACAAACAGACAAATAACGGCGAAAGCTCATCGGATGTCGTCATTTGGAAATACCCCTGATTGTTACAGTTTGATAATAAAAAAGTATCCCTGAGTGAAAGCATTTGCGGATTTCGGATTGCGTGGATGATACAATTACTACTCCCTTGTTGTCATCCACATTTTCTGGTATAACCCGACACTTGTGTATTTGTCGTAATTCACTTGCTGCTCAGTTAATGAATTTATAACATGTATACTTAGTTGTAGCACAACTCAGATTACCCGATAAAGGTTCAAATTTGGTCTTTCTTGTACGTGGGGTAATTATTTAATCTAAATCCAGGTTTGAAGTGAGGTGGAATGTGAGTTATGCACGTCGCAGCCCAGCAAGTGATGTATGATCAGTTGCTTTACTTTTTTTGTAAATCAACTGATCATTCCCAGACATCAAAGGATCAACAGGAAATACGTTGATTGATTAATTACTGTTATCTTGCACAGTGGATACGTCAAAAGTAAGTGTTTACATGTGAAGGTAGGGTTACTAAACCTAGGGAATACTCATATCATGGCGTGAAGTACAGATGTAAAAACAACATACAGTCAAGTCTCGTTAATCCGACACTCGTTAATCCGACGCTCGGCTTTATCCGACACAAATGATGGGAACCGATTGATTCAGCGCTATTTAGTCCCGTTAATCCGACATTCTCGCACTCCGACTCCGACACACCTAATTTGCAACGAATTACTGAAATCACTCATTAATCAGTCTCGTTAATCCGACACAGTGGTCAGCGTACTCCGTGGTCATCTGCCCGCGAGTACACAACCCCGTGTTTTGACACGCACCGGCTGCAGAGATTAACTTTAACAATTAACACTAGATGCCAGGATCATAAAGAATTTCAAGCTTTATTATAAGAAACAAATGAAATTACACCTCGACAATGTTGATGCTGAAGGACCATCGAATGTACTTTGTTCAAAGGGTAACCGATAATACACTGACTAGTTGTTCATTGTTATCTAACTCAATGTATGTTTTTAAGAACCGTGGACATTATAAAAATAGTTGTCACGTGGGCTTTCTCAGCTAACTTGGCACCTATGTGAAACAATTGAAACAAAATAAGTGATCAGTTAAGAAACAAACACGGGTTATACTATTCGATACATTTAAATAACGTTTAAAAACGATATATTTAAATATTTTAATATATTTCATATATATTCCAAATATTGTTTCCAAATATTGTTTCCAAATAATTATTATTAAAGTATTTGATTCTCACATAGACATTTTACATCGAATAAGTATTTTTGTACAGCTGCAGACGCAATGGATATTGTTCCTGTATGTTGATATTCCCGGATACATTATAACTTTGGTAGGTTGTTATAATGATATTTGCATTTTGTTTTCATTCATTCGCTGCAGCTTTGAACAGAATCATTCTTGTTCCTTTCCGTTTGGTTGGGAAGTTTTTCGATGCGCGATAGACGTATTTTCTTTTGTAAGCGTGTATATAGTACAGTCAATGTGTAAAATATGATTCACTCAGGCAATTTATTAAATATCTAAATATTTCAGTCATTTTACAAATTGACTGAATAATCCATTCATTTATTTAACCGACTGACTAAAAATGATAAAGACGACCAAGAGAGCTTAAACACATCACAATATATTAATTATGCTAAGAAAAGAAGCCAAACAATACAGAACTGTACTTGGTGATGGTATTAAACATATTTGGAATTCGTTATCATATTAATAAAGATGGACATATTTTTCAGTTAATTTGTGAAATAAACTGAATATTTAGGCGTTTTAATACATTTCCTTAGTGAAATCTGTTTACATTTTGAATGTAAACATATACACACGGTAAAATAAGCAATGTTCAGTGAAATATTTACTCTGTGTTGCAAGTCAAAATAGTGTACACGAAGATTGCACAATTACTAAGCAAGTGACTTATCAAAACTGCATCACCATTACCGATGCTCCCCACAAATATACCTACATTTCAAAAACTGTATTTCATTTTTGTTGATCAGTGTGACCATACGTCCTTCTACTTTCAATTAAAATGCGCTTACGAATGGCGAGCACAGGTCGCGAACAAGTCTAGATTTCTGCTATATCATCCGGGTACTCACTGGGAAAATACAGTAATGCACAGGTAACAACTACTCCCGCGGAATTGCTTTAGATCAGTGTCCTTTGTACGTTGAAATACTATATATTGTGAAAGACAAAATGATGTATCAAGGATCAAGTAGAAGATACATTGACCGTTGCGCTGGGAGTTTATTCAACAGACCCTGAAAATAACACTGCTGTATCTTATTATTTATTTTAGATGATGCAGGCAAAGCTCACTTCTCCTGGCGGCCATTATCAAACGGCCAGCTAAAACACAACCCCGCGCTTACGTCTACAGGTCTCTTCCTGTAGTACAGTAATTAGTATTCTCTCCCTCAAGTGTATCCTCAATGATATAACCCACCCTCATTAATTACATGCTGCTCTTTTCCAGCCTCACGGCTATGGAGCTGTGATAAAGAGTCCAAGTCATCATAAAGTAATCAGGGTCCAATAAAAACAATGCGCCGCCAAACCTCATACATATTATCACTGAAAGTCGTACTACAGACGGTTAATGTCAAATCACAATAAAAGCATTTCAATTGCAATAACATGTTCCAGGACCATGTATTCTCTTAATTAACACCATCGGATTTAGAAGCAATGGTCGTATAAAACAAAACAGATCTATTTAATCGCAACAGTATTCATGTTATTCCCACAAAATCACATAAAGAAAGGAGACATTAGGAAATACATGTGTATTATCATTTTTCGTCAGGATAACAAAATTTTCTCTCCTTGTTACCACCTCCAGGTTCAGCTTAAGACGGGTCCTCCTTTGGTCAAAAGTTTGTTCCCCCTCTAATGAGTGTGTCACGCGTTGCACACGAGTGGCGGACGGGGTGCACACCCGTGTGCAACGCGTTGCACACGGGTCTCACACGCGTGACCAACCCGATGCACACTGGTTGCGTAACGCGTTGCCCATGCGTGTAAGGGGAATGAACTTCTAGGCAGTAGTGTAGGTGTTTGGACCAAAGTATGGTCATCACATTATTTCCTCATAAATCAAATGAGCTACAGTACCTTGTGGCTCTATTTTAATAGGTATTCAAAACCCTTCCTTGTGTCTTAACCTTTTTTTCTGAAACATGACAAGATTTCGCAATATTTTATTTGAACCTTTCTTAGTACCTGCATGGCCTAGTGAATAGAGCCATCTGCGAGGAGTGCAGTTCTTTAGTCCCATGACTGCATCATGCCTAAAACATAAAAAGATACCATAACTGGCACTCAGCATTAAGGGATTGGTCAGCTCAAAGTCAGTGTAAGTGTGTTTGAGTGGGGTATCCATGTTAAAGTGTAGCATGATATCTCAATGGGCTACCACTATAAAACCGGACTTGCACAAGCAGCCACACACACGTCGCTTGAAATACTCAATGTGATTATGATATTTTGTTTAACTATTTAAAATGGTCAGAAAAAAATAAACTGTTTTCAATTTTTTTACAAATTTTGACTGACTGTATTATTTTCTAGATCATGCCACTGAAGATGAGAGACGGAGCCTTCTCCTTGAAATTGAGGTCATGAAACAGTTTGGAATGCATCAGAATGTTGTGAGCATGATTGGCTGCTGTACAACTGGCAGTCGTATCTGTCTTGTAATGGATTTTTGCCTGCTTGGAGACTTACGGAATTATTTGAGAGACTACAGGGAAAAGGTAAACACACATTATATACCTCCAGTGACATCATCTCATTGTTCTCCAGTCGGATTAAATCTCAAAAACTGAGACGTTATAACATCCCCAGGATTTTGTATTATATCCTGGAGATTTTATTAATACAACTTCAACTACAATTATATTGTAATATATGAATGTTTCTCACTAGAATTTTTTTCTTTTGCATTTGAAACACAATGTAATGAAATGTAAAATCAAATGACAAATGTTTTCTTTATATTCCCTTGGATTCGAGTTTTAAATCTCATAAAAACACTCTAACATGTTTTATCCTAAACATATAGACTTGTATTAAAAGTGTTATGTTTGGATTCCTAAATTGGAATGCAGAGGTTAACCCAGAAAGATGTATTTACAGAAGTAAAATGCGAAATCAGTAAATATCTACACAAGATCAATGAACATTCAACAAATTATATTATAATAAAAAAGATTAGGTTTACAATCATACAAGAAAATAAAATTGATCAAAATATTTGGCAGCAGCAATGAAATAATAAGGAGGATACAATCTTCACTTTCTAAAATGACCAAGAGTAGTTATCTTTCCTTCTGGATCCCGATTCCACCTGTCAGGGAGAAAGTTACTTGCGGCAAATTTGGCCATATGCAAGTTACTAGCCAAGAGGGCCAACAATCGGACACCACCCACGGATTCTACTCACCAGTATTCCTGGTCCCAAAGAAGAATTCTTCAGAAATGCGCTTGATCATATATCTAATAGTCCTAAACCAAGATTATTTGGAGAAACCTCCCAAGTTCCAGATGAAATCCATCAAGAAGTTAAAGAACACCTTAAGATAAGCACACTGGATGATAAGACTAGATCTCCAGGATGGCTATATCTTCACGTCTCCATCCACCAGTTCCACCAGTTCGAATCTTAGAACTACATTGGTGGCTCACTTGTCAGAATGTCATGCCCGGACTCACATATCCCCCTCCTCTACATCAGCTCTACACAGATGTGTCAGGAGAGGGATGGGGCGCCCACATGGATGACATTACGGTACAGGGAAAATGGTCCACCCAAGAAAAGGAGTTACACATTAACTGCCTAGAAATGTGGGTGACGTATCTAGCACTAGAAGCATGGCTAGATCATCTGCACCACTCTTCAGTAAAGCTTGCTAGAGACGACTTGACCATGATTGCTTACATACAGCACCAGGGAGGCATGAAGTCTTGAGGCCTACTCACACGGTCGGCCCATCGAATAGATACGCCGAATTCGACCAAGTCATATATCGTTTGAGTGATTAATCGAACAAAAGGGACAAATCGGCCGCTTGAAACCGCATCGATTGTGTTGCAAATGTGTAGAGTATGTTCTAGCTGATCGGCAAATTCGATGTGGTGCGGCCAATCAAATTGTGCTTTGAAGTCACATGATATTTGTTTACACACAAGCGGGAAACATGGCTTTATCTGCTGTGAAGAAACCATGCCTCGACTTTTCAAGAGAGGAGACCAAGTGTTTTTTGGCTCACTATCTCAGTCACAAAACCCTGTCAAATGTCTCAAGCCAGGATTATTCAAAAAGAGACAAGAGGAATGCTGCACTGATGGCGATAAGCTTGGCATTCCCGGAAAAGTCACTAATGAGTGAGTATGCAGACGACGTGTATTTTCAAATTTGTTGACAAATGTGATGCTGTGAGCTCTTGCACCTTGTAGCATGAAAGAATAACATGTACGATACAAATTTCCCTAAATGCCCTATTCCAAATATGAGCTGTCTTTGTACCTATGCTATGATAGGTGGAGCAAATATGTATGCAAAGCGGTGTGTCTGTCTCTGTAAAGGGGTGGAGGGTGGGGAGACACACCCCCTTGTTTATTAAACTTTCTGATTTGTCAGATTTCTACTTAGCATAACACGCCGTGATATAACAGGAATAATGTTAAAAGCGGCGTTAAACCCAACTCACTCACTCTACATAGCATAGGGTCTGCAACAGCTCCAATTGGTTTAAATACATGTAGTATCTTGCCCCATCATCGAAATAAATGCATACACTATCCAGACACTATCATTCTAACCCGGAATGGGTATGTAAAAATTGTTGAAACAACAATTAATAATAATACTGAAATGTTTCTGCATATCTGATCAGCTGACTAAACCAAGAGCTGTTAGGATATCTTGGGACACCCTTAGGAGAGAGATTTTCATACTTTTTGCACAATGTCTCTTTAGATAAATCAAAATTTGAAAATACAAGCAAATATTTGGAATTGTGACTCAGTTGTGGCCAATACTTGTAACTAGGCATGTGGTACATACTGAAATATTTGCAAGACACATTAAAAAAATGCTGATGCATTTTAACACAGACTAGCTAGACATTAAGTGGAAGTTTCATAAGCTGGTAATCATATTCTGGTATCTGAGTATAATAAGTGAAGTTTGATTTCTTTTAGATGATCAAGTGACAGAAAAGATTGCGAATATTCGCATATCCTACCCGAGGGAACTCAAGAAACATCTGGTAAGCAAGACAAGTGTCTCCACAACAGATGATGTGTACATGCCTGTACAGGATCACTTTGAGACCTGGGTCCTTTCTTGCATCCTCACATGAGGCAGCGTGCATCTGTAAAGAGCTTGACAACACAGGTACATGTGGTTTATGATGTTAAAGTTATTAATACATAATTTTGAGTTCCCACACATTCTAGAGTGATTTGAAGGAACCAATTCTATTAACTTAGTAATAGTCCATATTTAAGTTTTAATACTTAAACAATTTGTTTTATGGAATGAAAACATGCATATATTTCAAATTGAATACAACATTTGGTTTATTTGTTCCCAATGTAAACAGAGGTGATTATTTACAATTATCATCATGTACACTCATCTAAATGTGTAGAACATACCACATTCTGGATTGCACATGTACCATACTGACATTGGGTCAATGTATGTAACATACTGACACAGCTCAATGTTCAATACTCATGCAGCTCAATTTACCATACTGACACAGCTCAATTTACCATACTGACACAGCTCAATGCACAATACTGACACAGGTCTATTTACCATACTGACACAGCTCAATGTACCATACTGACACAGGTCAATTTGCCATACTGACACAGCTCAATGTTCAATACTGACACAGCTCAATCCTCGATACTGACACAGCTCAATGCACAATACTGACACAGCTCAATGTACAATACTGACACAGCTCTTTGCTCAATACTGACACAGCTCAATGCACCATACTGACCCAGCTCAAAGTACAATACTGACACAGCTCAATGCTCAAAACTGACACAGCCCAATGCATAATACTGACACAGGTCAATTTACCATACTGACACAGCTCAATGTACAATACTGACACAGCTCAATGCTCAATACTGACACAGCTCAATGTACAATACTGATGCAGCTCAATGCACCAAACTGACAAAGGTCAATTTACCATACTGACACAGATCAAAGCTCATTACTGACCCAGCTCAATGAACAATACTGATGCAGCTCAATGCTCATCACTCACACAGGTCAATTTACCATACTGACACAGGTCAATTTACCATACTGACACAGCTCAATGCTCAATACTGACACAGCCCAATGCATAATACTGACACAGGTCAATTTACCATACTGACACAGCTCAATGTTCAATACTGACACAGCTCAATGTACAATACTGACACAGCTCAATGCTCAATACTGACACAGCTCAATGTACAATACTGATGCAGCTCAATGCACCAAACTGACAAAGGTCAATTTACCATACTGACACAGATCAAAGCTCATTACTGACCCAGCTCAATGAACAATACTGATGCAGCTCAATGCTCATCACTCACACAGGTCAATTTACCATACTGACACAGCTCAATGCTCAATACTGATGCAGCTCAAATGACCATACTGACACAGCTCAATGCACAGTACTGACACAGGTCAATTTACCATACTGACACAGCTCAATGTACAAAACTGACACAGCTCAATGCACATTACTGATGCAGCTCAATGTACAATACCGACACAGCTCAATGCTCAATACTGACACAGCTCAATGTACAATACTGAAACAGCTCAATTTACCTTACTGACACAGCTCCATGTACAATACTTATGCAGCTTAATGCATAAAACTGACACAGGTCAATTTACCATACTGACGGACACATCTCAATGTACAATACTGACACAGCTCAATGCACATTACTGATACAGCTCAATGTACAATACTGACACAGTTTAATGTACAATACTGACACAGGTCAATTTACCATACTGACACATGTCAATTTACCATACTGTCACAGCTCAATGTACAATACTGACACAGGTCAATGTACAATACTGACACAGCTCAATGCACAATACTGACACAGGTCAATTTGCCATACTCACACAGCTCAATGCTCAATACTGACACAGCTCATTGTACCATACTGACACAGCTTAATGTACAATACTGACACAGCTCTTTGCTCAATACTGACACAGCTCAATGCACCATACTGACACAGCTCAATGTACAATACTGACACAGCTCAATGCTCAATGCTGACACAGCTCAATGCATAATACTGACACAGGTCAATTTACCATACTGACACAGCTCAATGTTCAATACTGACACAGCTCAATGTACAATACTGACACAGCTCAATGCTCAATACTGACACAGCTCAATGTACAATACTGATGCAGCTAAATGCACCAAACTGACAAAGGTCAATTTACCATACTGACACAGATCAAAGCTCATTACTGACCCAGCTCAATGAACAATACTGATGCAGCTTAATGGTCATTACTCATACAGGTCAATTTTCCATACTGACACAGCTCAATTTACCATACTGACACAGCTCAATGCACAATACTGACACAGGTCAATTGACCATACTGACACAGCTCAATGTTCAATACTGACACAGCTCAATGTACAATACTGACACAGCTCAATGCTCTATAATGACACCG